AAAGAAACACCAAAACCTCCATTAGAAAGCCCAAGGGTATGCAGCTCTGGAAAAGAGAACTCTCAATGTTGCTCTCTTTTTTGTTCTTTTTTTAATTTTTGACTTTTGACTGCATCAGGTCTTAACTGTGGGAAGCTCAGTTAGTTCCCCAACGAGGTTCTGTATCCCCTGCATTCGAAGCATGGAGTCTTAACCTCTGCACCACCAGGGAAGTCCCTCTATTGGCACTCTTGCTACTGTTATTAGAGTGAAGACATTCCCAGAAATGAAATTCACTCCACACAAAACAGGTTTTCTGGGGATTGTGAAAATCAACTAATATTGTGCAGAACATCACATTTCTAGAAATACTCAAATAAATATGATCTGTCTAGAGACTGTTTTTCACCATGTTGCCTACAGAAGATGAGGGACCATGACCACTTTCAAAAATTAAAGCTCATGAAAATGATAGCTTTCAATCAACACAATCCTGAATTAATTATCAGACTACACACCCCGGCCCACATTTGTAGTGACATGTATCTTTACCTGGTAAGACTGATTGGCAAATCTGCACATCAACAGTAAACAGGCACCTTTCATGCTTACATAAAACTCTCATGATTCTGCAAGCTTCCTTGGATTTAGATTTTAGTATTCCTGGATGTTCTATATGAGACATCAAATATACAAACAAATAATGACCAGACCATATACAAAAACAGAACTCTGATCCACAATCTGCCCAAAGCATACCCAGTAAACCAACTCCCTTATCTATAATAAACAGCCCAGGAAGCCAGCTTGCTTTAGGTCATACTTGTAGGAAGTGAGAACACAGTCTGGAGTATTAGTCCAGGAAGCTAAATAACCCATATAATGATCCACCCAAAATAGTCAAGACTTGATTAAAAGCTGACAGCTTCCCTAATTTTTCCCCACTTCCAATTTAGAACCAACCAGAGAAAGCCAAATATGCACACCTAACCAATCACATAGGATGCCCCAATGTGTGTTAGCCCACTTATACCTGCCCAATGCAAAGAGCCTAGATTCAGGATATACCTGAAATCTTCTCTCTTGTCCCTCTTAAAGCTTTCCCATTCCTCTGCCTACATTTGAGTCTGTCAAAATACAAGTGAGGGTGGCTGACTCCCTTTCTGTATAAAACAAGTTCTTGAATACATAGATCCTGCTTTTCTCATTTGGTTGGTCATTTATTTCCATGTATTGGACCTAGAAATTCTATGAAGAACTAATTTCCAATCCTTCTTTAATTGCTTAATTGTGTTGTTTATAAAACAGTCATAAAGTTAGGAGAGAACATCTCTTTTACTTCATCTTGATAACCTAAGTCTATATGCATTCTTGCCTTGAGAACTCCATGAACAGTATGAAAAGGCAAGAAGATGTGACACTGAAAGATGAACTCCCCAGGTCGGGAGGTGCCCAATTCGATACTGGAGAAGAGCGGAGAAATAGCTCCAGAAGGAATGAAGAGGCTGAGCCAAAGCAGAAACAACACCCAGTTGAGGATGTGTCTGGATATGAAAGCAATACCGATGCTGTAAAGAACAATATTGCATAGGAACCTGGAATATTACGTCCATGAATCAAAGTAATCTGGAAGTGGTCAAACAGGAGATGGCAAGCATGAACACTGACATTATAGCAATCAGAGAACTAAAATGGATGAATTTAATTTAGATGACCATTATATCTACTACTGTGGGCAAGAATCCCTTAGAAGAAATGGAGTAGCCATCATAGTCAACAAGAGTCCAAAATGCAGTACTTGGCTGCAATCTCAAAAATGATAGAATGATCTTGGTTGGCTTCCAAGGAAAACCATTCAATATCACAGTAATCCAAGTCTATGCCCCAATCACTAATTCGGAAGAAGTTGAAGTTGAACGGGTCTATGAAGACCTACAAGACTTTCTAGAACACCAAAAAAAGATGCCCTTTTCATCAAAGGTGAATGGAATGCAAAGTAGGAAGTCAAGAGATAACTGCAGTAACAGGCAAGTTTGGCCTTGCAGTACAAAATGAAACAGGCAAAGGCCAACAGAGTTTTGCTAAGAGAATGCACTGGTCATAGCAAACACCCTCTTCCAAAAACACAAGAGAAGACTCTACACATGGACATCACCAGATGGTCAATACCAAAATCAGATTGATTATATTTTTTGCAGTTGAAGATGGAGAAGCTCTACACAGTCAGCAAAAACAAGACCAGGAGCTGATTGTGGCTCAGATCATGAACTCATTATTGCCAAATTCAAACTTAAATTTAAGAAAGTAGGGAAAACCACTAGGCCATTCAGGTGTGACCTAAATCAAATCTCTTATGATTTTACAGTAGAAGTGACAAATAGATTCAAGGGATGAGATCTGATAGACAGAGAGACTGAAGAAGTATGGATGGAGGTTTGTAACACTGTACAGCAGGCAGTGAGCAAAACCATTCCTAAGAAAAAGAAGTACAAAAAGGCAAAACGGTTGTCTGAGGAGGACTTACAAATAGCTGAGAAAAGAGAAGCAAACAGCAACGGGGAAAAGGAAAGATATACCATGTGAATGCAGAGTTCCAAAGAATAGCAAGGAGAGAAGAAAGTTTTCCTAAGTGAACAATGCAAAGACATAGAGAAAAACAATAGGATGGGAAGGACTAGAGATCTCTTTAAGAAAATTAGAGATACCAAGGGAACATTTCAAGCAAAGATTGGCACAATAAAGGACGGAAAATACATGGACCTGATAGAAGCAGAAGATATTAAGAAGAGATGGCAAAAATACACAGAAGAACTATATCAAAAAAGACCTTAATGACCCAGATAACCATGATGCTGTGATCGCTCACCTAGAGCCAGACATGCTTAAATGCAAAGTCAAGTGGGCCTTAGGAAGCATCACTTAAAACAAAGTTAGTGGAAGTGATGGAATTCCAGCTGAGCTATTTCAAATCCTAAAAGATGATACTGTTAAAGTGCTGCACTCACCATGCCAACAAATTTGGAAAACTCACCAGTGGCCACAGGACTGGAAAAGGTCAGTTTTCATCCCAACCCCAAAGATGGGCAATGCCAAAGAATGTTCAAACTACCGCACAACTGCACTCATTCCACATGCTAGCGAAGTAATGCTCAAATTCTCCAAGCTAAGCTTCAACAGTATGTGAACCTGTAATACCAAGATGTTCAAGGTGGATTTAGAAAAGGGATAGGAGCCAGACATCAAATTGCCAACATGCACTGGATCATAGAAAAAGCAAGACAATGCCAGAAAAACATCTACTTCTGCTTTATTGACTATGCTAAAGCCTTTAACTGTGTGGATCACAACAAACTGTGGAAAATTCTTAAAGAGATAGGAATACCAGACCACCTTACCTGCTCCGGAGAAACCTGTATGCAGGTCAAGACGCAACAGTTAGAACCGGACATGGAACAATGGACTGGTTCCTGATTGGGAAAGGAGTACGTCAAGGCTGTATATTGTCACCCTGCTTATTTAACTTATATGCTGAGTACATCAAGCAAAATGCCAGGCTGGATATAGCACAAGCTGGAATCAAGATTGCCAGGAGAAATATCAATAACCTCAGATATGCAGATGACACTGTCTTTATGGCAGAAAGCAAAGAAAAACTAAAGAGCCTCTTGATGAAGGTGAAAGAGAAGATTGAAAAAGTTAGCTTAAAACTCAACATTCAGAAAACTAAGATCATGGCATCTGGTCCCATCACTTCATGGCAAATAGATGGAAGAATAGAAACAGTGAAAGACTTTATTTTCTTGGACTCCAAAATCACTGCAGATGGTGAATGCAGTCATGAAATTAAGACACTTGCTCCTTGGATAAAAGCCATGACAAACCTCGCCAGCATATTAAAAAGCAGAGACATTACTTTGCCAAGAAAGGTCCATCTAGTCAAAGCTATGGTTTTTCCGGTGGTCATGTGTGGATGTGAGAGTTGGACCATAAAGAAGGCTGAGCACCAAAGAATTGATGCTTTTGAACTGTGGTGTTGGAGAAGACTCTTCAGAGTCCCTTGGACTGCAAGGAGATCAAACCAGTCCATCCTAAAGGAAATCAACCCTGAATTCATTGGAAGGACTGATGCTGAAGCTGAAGCTCCAATACTTTGGCCACCTGATGGCAAGAGCTGACTCATTGGAAAAGACCCTGATGTTGGGAAAGATTGAGGGCAGGAGGAGAAGACGACAGAGGATGAGATGGCTGGATGGCACCACCGACGCAATGGCCATGAGCTTGAGCAAGCTCTGGGAGATGGTGAAGGACATGGAAGCCTGGCAGTGCTGCAATCCATTGGGTCACAAAGAGTCGGACACGACTGAGCGACTGAACAACAACCGTATGCTGCAGGGCTCATCTTTCCGCAGTAAATCGCCCAGGAATGGGCGTGGTCTTCCCCGTCCCACCTGTGCAGGGAACCTAGCGAAGGAGTCAATGGGCAGAGACCACAGGAGCAGCGCCCTCGACCAGAAAGTGAACGGGAAAGTCGCTCAGTCGAGTCCGACTCTTTGCGACCCCGTAGACTATAGCCTGCCAGGCGCCTCTGCCCATGGAATTCTCCGGCCAGAGAACCAGAGTGGGTAGTCAAGTCCCTTCTCCAGGGCATCTTCCCAACCCAGGGATGGAGACCAGGTCTCCCTCATTGCAGGCGGATTCTTTGCAGGCTGAGCCACCAGAGAAGCCCAAGAATAATGGAGCGGGTAGCCTATTCCTTCTCCAGAGGATCTTCCCGACCCAGGAATCGAACCCGCCGTCTGCTGCATTGCAGGCGGATTCTTTATCAGCTGAGCTACCGGGGAAGCCGAGTCGGTCAGAAGCGGCCTCGCCTAGGCCAGCCTCCAAATAGGAACTACAATTCCCAGCGGCCCCTGCGGACGGCGGGCCGTGGCCACGACGCGCCTGCGCAGTGGCGCAGGCTCGCCCGGTGTGGTTCCCGCCAATTCTTACGGTAGTCCTCCCAGGGTTGAATTCTGCGTTCCATGGAGGCGTTTGACCCTGCCGAGCTGCCCGAGCTGCTTAAGCTTTATTACCGAAGGCTCTTTCCCTACGGCCAATACTATCGCTGGCTCAACTATGGCGGAGGTGATGGAGGCAGGGAGGGGGTGGTGGTGCGTCTGCAAAGGCGTGTGAGGAGGCTTGGGGAGCAAACCTCGGAACGACAATATGAAGTGCCTCCTGGGTGCCAGGCGTTGTCGTGCGTTATCTCGAGCCCTCTCCGTCGCCTCTGGGGGTGAATGGGCCGAGAGAGGATGTAATAACCAGCCTCCCCCGAACCCGGGAAGGTGTGTGCTAAGTCGCTCGGTCATGTCGACTATTTGCGACCCTGCGAACTGTAGCTCACCAGCTCCTCTGTCCATGAGATTTTCCGGCCCAAATGGTCGGACTCACTTTCCGTTTGGTCTTTACCTGCAACCACGGGGCGGAGGGGGGTGGGTGGGTGCGGGGGGAACTACAGGGTCATAGCATGAAGCTGCAAAGTCGTGATCTGCTCAGGGACAGAGGGGCATCTCCTAAAAGAGGAGGGGTACTTAACTCTTCCCACTTGAATTTATTAGTGCCCACCAAGGAAAGAGAGGTGGTATTACATATTGAAAATATTTCTGCATCTTTATCCTCATCTTTGTAAACCCCTTCAAATTAGGAACTAGCTCTTGGCTTTTTTTTTTTTTTTAACATGCAGCATAGTGTTGAACACAGAGGACACATTAAAAATATCTTCTCATTGGTTAATGTTTTAATGCTCTGAGCTGGATAAAGTACCAAATTAACTTTAAGGTGTACATTTATTTTGCAGTGATAAAGAATTACTTTCAGCACCGTGAATTTTCATTCACATTGAAAGATGATATTTACATTCGCTACCAATCCTTCAACAACCAAAGTGAGCTGGAAAAGGAGATGCAGAAAATGAATCCATACAAGATTGATATTGGCGCAGTATATTCCCACAGAGTAAGAAATCGGTTTTTTATGTAGTTTGTTGTTTTTTAAACCAAGAAAGGGTTGGTGCCCCTAGCATTTTGAGATAAATTTGTAGTGTTTATTTTATTTGAAGAGCCACACTTCAACCATTTTTGCAAGGAAGTTGTAAAGTAAAAAAAAATTTTCAATGTCCTTTGATACTTTACTGACTGGAAATCATTTGGAAATGGATTGGCTATATTCACTGTAGGACAAAAAAACTTTCAGCCAATATCTGGCTAAAAGACTAAATGAGTGGCTGATTCATGTCAATGTATGACAAAACCCACTGCAATGTTGTGAAGTAATTAGCCTCCAACTAATAAAAATAAATGAAAAAAAAAAAAACCAAACAAACAAAAAAGACTAAATGAGGTCCATTAAAAAAGAAATTAAAAAAAAAAAAGACTAGATGAGGGACTTTCCTGGTGGTACAGTGGATGCAGTGGACTTGGATTCTGTCCCTGGTCCAGGAAGATCCCACATGCTGTGGAGCAACTAAGCGAGTGTGCCACAGCCACAAGCCTGGGCTCTAGATCCTGGGAGCTGCAGCCGAAGCCCAGGCGCCCTAGAGCCCACGCTCCTGAGCGGGAGAAGCCACTCCAAGGAGAACCCCGCGTTCCGAAGCTAGAGAAAGCCCATGCAGCACAATCAAAACAAACAGATGAAAAGACATTTTTTAAAGACTAAATGAAGAAGTCAGCATTGTTGAACACAAAGGATATTGGGGAGAATCATTCTTGATTCCTCTATTTCTCTCACACCTATGTCTGTTTCACTCGGTGATCTCTTTAGCTCTACCACAATAATATCTGCTAACCACTGCTACTAGTGCTACTGCCATCATCATCACCTCTTATCTGAACTACTGTAGAAACTTCCTAACACTTTGCTCCTATAGACTCTAGACTGTATTCTCAACACAGCAGCCAAAAGGATGCTTTTAAAACAAGTAAGATCATCTTGATTCATCTGCTCAAACCATTCTGCAGCGGCTTCTCATTTCACCCAGAGTTCGAGCCCCTCTCTCCCTCACTCACTCCAATCTTGTCACAGCGGCCTGTGCTCCATCAGTTTCCACTGCCTAGACCCATTTCCCGAAGCATCTTTTTGGTTCATTTTTCTCACCTCCTTCAAGTCCTTACTCAAAGAGGCCTGTAGCCTGCCTTTCCTCCTACCCGCTCCCCTTACTGATACATGCTAAGTGCCTAGAATACTGCCAGGCAGAGAGAGTACATCATAAGTGTCTGTGAAATGAATGAACATAATTGCCCAAAATTGCCCTTCTTCCTGTCCTTCCTACACTCAGGTAGGGAAAAGATACACATAGAATAATAGCTTTTGTATGGAGCCTTTTCTTAATGTTGTATGACTTGTTTTTCATATCATTCTTCATTATTCTTTTTTAGAAGGAGAACTTAGATAATTTGGCCTAGGCTACATAATTTCTAAATGAGGGAGATAGGACCTGAATCCAGGTTTTCTGACTCTAAATCCCAAAGGAAAGGGAGAGGAGGTAAGAAAAGGAAGGCAGGGAAAATACTTTGGAGCAGGTTACTCCTCTTAGGGATGGAGATTAAAACAAGTCTCTATAGAAGAGCCAAGGTTCACTCTATTCCTTCTTCCTAGCACAGAAGGGGGAAGAGGTGTCATTTCTTAAACTGGGCCAAGACAGGCATCTATACATCATCTTGGTGTGTTTTTATTGGTTAGATATGCACGTAGTTTATAAAAATCAACTACTATCAATTAAGCTTTTTTTTTTTTTGGTCTACTACTTTTGCCCCTATTTTCTGTTCCCAAGAGGCAACCTTTTTTTTTTTTTCTTGGCTGTGCTGGGTCTTAGCTGAGGCACAAGGAACCTTCAGTCTTCATTGCACCATATGGAATCTTTAGCTGTGGCATGTGGGATCTAGTTCCCTGACCAGGGATTGAATCCCAGGCCCCCTTGTATTGGAAGTGCAGAGTCTTAGCCACTGGACCACCAGGGAAGTCTGTATTCCTGCTTTTTGTTTTCATTTTCTCTGCTTTCTGGGGAATTTCCTCAGAGGTTTTCATTTCTGCTATTATGTTTTCATTTCCAAGAACCTTTTTTTCCTAACATATCTTGTACTCTTTTCATTGATATATCTTATCTTGAAGATATCAATGACAGTTTTTTACATTTTCTTCTGTTATACAGGCTGTTTTCTCTACAGTTACATTTTTTTCTGTTTTTCCACTGTTACCAGAGGTTTTCCTCATATATCTGGTAATTTCTTGCTTGCGGCTTATGTTTAAGAATAGAGTACCAGAGAGCTGATGGGAAGCTCTGTATGCGTGGCTGAGATTTCTTTACTACAGGGTGATCTGACTGGGCCATTTTATTGTGGGAAGCTCTGATGTCAGTTTCTCTAGGTCTTTGTTAGAATGAAAACTCCCGTTGATCACTGATCTGTTCCTAGAGCCTCATAACCATGCCTGACACACCTGGTCGGTCTTGAGAGAGGAATCTTCCTGTCTCCTTCCTGGGGTGGCAGTGGGAAGGTACAGAGGAGAGCTAGGTCTCAACATTCCACAGGTAAATGTCTAATCAATCCCCTGAATATCTGCACAGTACAGTCTTTTTTCAGCTGTGCCCACTCTCCCCTTCTCAGTCCAGGGACCCTCTGCTTTATGCTCTCCAGGTGTCTTTGCCAAGGAAATGGAAGCACAGTCACCTAGCACCACAGAGTAGGTTTAGCACTAACTACTTTGTAAATAGATTTGTAATCAATCCTGCTGTTTTTAATCTCAGCTCCAGAGATACCTGTTGTCACCTATTCCTAAGATTTGGGGATTCTGAGATGTAAATTGGGTTTCTTCTTGTTCTTCTTTACTGAGAGCTGAAGACTCAGCTTTTTTAATCTCCTTATAAAAATTGTGGTGGTATTGTCTCCTCTCTGGTTCTTTTTAAAAAGACTTATACCTATCTTTAAAAATAAAAAATTATTTTTGTGCAGGTTTAGAGGAAGCCAAATAAGTTTTTGCATTCAGTCTGCTTTCTTTACCAGATAGTCCATAGCCTCAAAGGAAATTACTTAGAGCTTAAGCCAGACTGACTTGGGAGATCTTTTTGAATTATTGAAAATTTTTAAACACGTTTTTGTTACTTAAATGCCAATAACAATTAAAGGTCCTTAAAATATCTTGCAGTAGGCTACTAATTATTTGTATGGACCTTTTCTTATCAGAAACCTAAAAATGCTTTATTATGATTTCTATTGATCAACAAATGTTTATTACACAATGTCATATGTCAATTATATCTCAGTTGGATTATAAGAAAACAAATACTTATGGTAAAACATTTATCAAGCCTTGTTTTTAGTAGATGAAAGTTACACTGTCATCACTTCTGGTTGTATAGGATGAAATCAGTGAGCTTCTTTTCTGTCAGTCACCGACAGACTTGGCATTAGATGGTTTCTCTCCTTCTCTTTGGCCCCTTTTTCTTTATAGGTAGGAAATAAGCATGTCTGACAGTGTGGTGGCTCTTATAGGAACTGATTGATATTTTGTCCCTTTAGCCCAATCAGCACAATACAGTGAAGCTGGGAGCTTTCCAGGCTCAGGAAAAAGAGCTGGTGTTTGACATTGACATGACAGACTATGACGACGTGAGGAGATGTTGCAGGTGGGTTCCGCATGCTTTGCTAGTAGGATGGGTGATATCACTGACAGTGAGTAATGATCATTCTGCCCCAGTTCTGCAGACACATGCTCCAAGTGCTGGACCCTCATGACAATGGCCATACGTATCATTGACCGAGCGCTGAAAGGCAAGTATTAGCAGTATCTCAATGGGGTCACATGCAAGAATCTTTTTTTCTTCTGAATGTTAATCTATCTACACCATTTTATAATCAATTCTCATAAATTTCTGACATGTTTCTTTGAAATATATCATGGGAAAATAAAAGATTAAAGTTGTAGTTAAAACTTTAATAAAGCTATTGATCAAATCATGTAATTTTTTTCCCAATTCACTCATCTGTTGAGCAACTCTTGCATGCCCGTTACTGTCCTAAGTGAGGGAACTATGAAAGATAACACTTCTTACCTCGAGTAAGTTACGCAGTCTAAAGAGGAAACCAGAACACCCAGGATTGCGTGTGTGTTACTACGCGCAGGGCGCTGTGGGGGCAGAGAACAGCAGGAGTGCACACAGGGATGGGACGATGTCAGGTCAGAAAAGGCTTCCTGGAAGAACTAACTCATATAAGAGGCTTACTCTTAACTCATAACGGCTAACTCATATAAGAGGCTTATTATGTACCGGGCACTGTTCCAAACACTTTAAATTTGTTGCCTCTTTTAATATTCTTAGACTGGGTCTTTAGAGAGAAACTGCAATTGGTCAGGGAGAGAAATAGAAGTACTGGGGCATGAAGAAATTCTTAGCAGAGTGATCAGGGTGAGTAAAGAACTGAAGGCAAGAGCCCAGGGAGCATGGGAAACTACAAATGATGTACAGTTGACCCTTGAACAACACGGGTGTGAACAGCACAAGTCTACTTAGACAGATTTTTTTCAGTAGTAAATACTGTAATACTGTATGCCTCATAGTTGGTTAAATCTGCAAATGTGGAACCACAAATACAGAGGCACTGCTGATGCAGAGGAACTCGTCCATCTATAGATAGATAGATAGATAGATAGATATACACACACACACACATATGTATATACACATACACATACAGCTTACTTATTTGTTGGCTGCACTGGGTCCTCATCACTAGGCGTGGGCTTTCTCCAGCTGACAAGGGCTGTTTTCCGTTACGGTGCGCAGGCTTTTACCGCAGAGCACAGGCTTCGTAGCTGTGGCACACAGGCTTAGTTGCCCCCACGGCATGTGGGATTTCCCCTGACCAAGGATCAAATTTGTGTCCCCTGCATTGGCAGGCAGATTCTTAACCACTGGACCACCCAGGAAGTTCAAGGAACTGTTTCTATGGAGGGCCAACCATAAGTTTTATGTGGATTTTCTAGTGGGAGGATCGGCATCCCAGTTTGTTCAAGGAGCAACAGTAGTATAGTTAAGATGAGTACAGATAAGAGGTAAAAAAAAAATCAAGCTAGAGAAATATGCAAGAACCAGAAATTTACAAATTTATTTTAAAACCGATTATTTCTTCCCTCCTCAGAGGACTTTGGATTTAAACATCGTCTCTGGGTATATTCTGGAAGGAGAGGTGTTCATTGTTGGGTCTGTGATGAATCAGTTAGAAAACTGTCCTCTGCAGTACGTTCTGGAATAGTTGAATATTTGAGTCTTGTAAAGGTAAGGTCTTCTTAATGATAGTTTACATTTCTTCGTTAGCTAGACATTACCCAGCCTTGTATGCTTAGTAACAAAAGCAAACTATCTTTTAAGCATTCATAGTTCAGAGTAAATGATTTTACCAGTAGATCAGTTAAAATCAAAGTAGTTACATTTTTTAAGATATCTCATATTTTGCTGTAAGTATGCTCCTTTTTGGCAAAAGGAAGTTTAGTTTACTTTTCTGGTCCAAGTATGTCAAGTAAAGTTAACCAAGAAAATTACAGGTATTGAGACTGTATAAAATGGCATGCAAGATTCTATACTTTGACAGAATTTAATCAGTATCTTTAGAACACGTTAAAGAAAATTTTGATTTATTTCATTTATGTTATATAATATACATGAAGTTTTTTTCATTTGTTTTTGATGGTTTGTTTTTCAGGGTGGTCAAGATGTTAAAAAGAAAGTCCACCTAAGTGAGAAAATTCACCCTTTTGTCAGGTCTGTTGGGGAAGACTCCCTGAAGTTTAAGTTGTGTCTGATTTACCTGTATGTGCTTTTAGAATTACCTTATCAATTTTCTGCACCAGGGTAGCATTTTACAACAGTAATAGCCAGAATTAATTAATTTCCTATTTTGTACATTCCAGTATTCTTGATAGGTGTTTCACAAATGTTCTTACTGGTCTTCACAGCAACCTCATTAGATACATGATGGTTATCTCCACTTATAGATGAGAGAAGTGAGATTTGGAGAGATTGTATAATTTGTTTGGCTTTATGCAAGTAATTATTAAAATCAGGACACATGTCCTTGTCTGCTTGATTCCAAAGACCATACCCTTTCCATTGAATTCACTACTTCTCTAGGATAATGGAAAGAGCATTGCATTAGAAGAATCCCTACTCTGCCACTTTAATATGACCTTGATAAAATATTAGAGACTCTGTTTCTTATCAGAATGGGGAGAACAGTGTCTACTCCATCTACCTCAGAGTTGCGGCAGAGATTAAATGAGTAGGAGGGCCCTGGCAGTCCGGTGGTTAAGGCTTTCTGCCTCCACTGCAGGGGCCATGGGTTCAGTCCCCAACTGGGGAACTAAGATCCTGCGTGCTGCATGCTGCACAGTCAAAAAAATAATAATAATAAATAAAATAAAATAAAAGCTAGTAACCTAACATATAAATATATATACATAAAACAGTAGGTGCAAAGTCTGTTTTCAAAATGCAAAGCATGTTGTAAGTGTTGAGATGCTAAAGCAAGCAATTCAGAATAGAAACTGTAGATTGTATCCCACATCCTACTACTGATGTATTATTACATTGTCCTGACTTGGTTGCTTTCTGCCCTTGTTACATGTCTATGATGCTATTAACCTTCTAAATTGTGGGATTTAAGAAGTAAACATTTCTTGAATATCTAGTCTAAGCCAAATACTTTGCTAGGTTCTTTCCCCTTAGAATATTTCATTTAACTCTCATAACCCTGTGAAGAGGTATAATTCCCATTTTATCTAATTAAGTTCTAGAAATTCAGTGAAAATAAGTACTAGCCTCCCTAGTGAACAAAAGCCATGTGCCATATATGTCACTAATAGTGTTGGGACTTTGTTATTATTGTTCCTACAGAAAATCTATAAACATAATAAAAAAATACTTTGAACAATATGCCTTAGTTGATCAAGATATTCTTGAGAATAAAGAAAGCTGGGATAAAATTTTAGCCCTTGTTCCTGAAAATATCCTTTCCCAAGACCATTTCTGTGTGAGCTACTTGTACTGACCTATGATATTATAAATTTGTTCTACCTGCATGTTCTCATGTACTTATATAGTTTTAATCTTTTTTACACAATACACCTCCCGTATTTCTGCATTTTTTTTTAATCTCTAGTCTGGAATACAATAAGAAGTGAGGCTGTTTTGTAAATAAATTTCCTCATTTTGGAAGTTGATCCTCCTATAATTCGTGACTACTTAACAGATGCAAAATCATCATCAAAATGTATACAGATCACAGACTGTTTCACCTTAAAACTGACAGCTATTTTGGCATTCATTCTGTCGTACCTAATACAGTTTAACAGGAACTTTTCTGAGGTTTTGTGTTTAATATCTGTATTTTAGGAAACAATAATTACTTTTTGTGTAATCTCTATATGTCCTTGTGGGGACACACATTGAAAGTAAGTGTTCACTGATGACGCTAAACGAGTGTGTTCCTTAACGGCCCATCACCAGTGCGTGATGAGCTCCAACAAGGCTTCCAGAGGCACAGCAGCTCACTTCAGCGTTGGGAGAATTTGAAGAACATCATCAACAAATATCAGGTATATTCCATTGAAATCTGTATTGCAAATATAACAATGCAATTCTTAATTGGATTCTCCTTTTTTCGCTCGCTAAGTTAGAGATGGTTGAAGATCAGTTTTCACACCTTAAATCTTCGGAAGTTCCTGCTGACCCTCATGCTGGACTTGCATCTGTTCTTAGAAAAACAACAAAAACGACAAATGCGGACCCTGGCTTGAGTGGGAGATCATGCTCCAGTATTGTTTTCCACGACTGGATATCAATGTTAGCAAAGGAATCAATCATTTACTGAAGAGCCCTTTTAGTGTTCATCCTAAAACAGGTACTATGTAAAAAAAAGTAAGAAAAACAAAAGAAAAATCAAAGTTATTTTTTGTTATAGAAAGCCTGTCACTGGATGTGAATGTCTGAAATAGTAAACCTCGAAGAATTGTTCTGTCAGCTAATATCTGCATTAACTTATTTTTCTCTTGTCAGCCAGTAGCTATTCAATGAGTTTCCACTATGTAAATAATTTTCAGTTGGGTTTCTAAGTAGAGTTGGAGAGGAACTTAAAACATAGAACAACAGCACATATTGTACAGATGAGAAAACAGTGGCTCGAGAGGTTAAAGGGATTTGTCCACAGTCTTGAAACAAATTTTGGGGAATTCCCTGGTGATCCAGGGAGATTAGGACTCGGCACTTTCACTCACGGGGACCAGGTTCTATTGCCATTCGGGGAACTAAGATCCCACAAGCCTCGTAGTATGGCCAAAAATTAAAAAATTATGTCAGAACTGATAACAGAGTTCAGCTCTTAAGACTCAAAGTTCCGTGCTTTTTTCTGTAGAAATAGAATCACAGATGTAGAGGACAGACTTCTGGTTCCCAAGGTGGAAGCAGGGGGCGGGATGAATTGGGAGACTGGGGTTGACACATACACACTGCTGTGTAAGTGAATAATGGGGACCTACGTGTAGCTCAGGAAGCTGTCAGTTACCTGTGGCAACTTAAATGGGAAGGAAATCTTGAAAGGGGGGATGTATGTATACATAGAACTGATTCATTTTGCTGTACGGCAGAAAGGAACAACACTGTAAGGCAACTATACTCGAATTAAAAAAGAAGTTCCGTGCTCTTTCCACTATGCTTCCTCCCTCAGGTCTTTTTCAGTAGATTTAGCTTTCTTCTTTCACTCTTCTGGATAAGATTTGATGGACTAAAACTGACTTTACAATAAGTATGATAGTAGATATATTGGCATAAACTTTGCTCCATCCAACTAGAGGACACAATTAGAAGTATCTAGTTGTCCTTTTTAGTGTCAACAATTCAACTCTGCCACTTGCTGTGGGAAGTTAAGCAAACTACCCTTGGTTTTAGCATCTGTACAGTGGAGATACCTCAGTGGTTTATGGTGAAGATCTAAAAGGTAAAATGCTTAGAAAGTGTCTGTCACATATTCAATACTCCCAAGTAGCCTGGTTTTCTTCAATAGTCTGCAGTGACTCTGTAGTGTATAGACTTATATAGCCCCTTTCCAGATCTGCCAATTATGTGTTTTTAGTTTGGTAATAAGCTTAATGTTTCTTAATATTTATCTTAATATTCTAAAGCTTCAGTGAGTATTCCTCTTATTTAATATTCAAGATTTGAGTAACAAATTATATTCACTTGTAAGTATACATTTTTATTATATCTTTTTCCCATTAAATGGCTATAGTCTTTTCACTCTGCCTTCCACCTGTAACTCCCAATTCCCTTAATTATTTTGTTAGTCACCTGCCATTCTTTAAATTCATTATCTCATTTTTCAGATATGAGTTTTATGTCATGTCCCAGTGGTGGATTTTGTAAAAGGGTAATATGTCATTTATATTATTTCCAAAGATGCTCAACACATAGGTGTCTGTTTTGATTTCAGCAAATTAATCAAAGTAATGAAGTAAACTACGTCCATCTGTTTTGTGTTCCATCTTCAGGACTCACTAAATTTGAGATTGTTCCGTACTTAAATATTGGAGGATATAGGGAAGAGGAAAACAGAAATCAAAATAGATATAAGAGCAACTAGGTAATAGCTCAACAGTCTTTCACATCCATTTTTTGGTGTTTTTAGAGAGATAAAAGGCACAAGTGTGAAAGTACTTTTCTAAGACCCGATTTTATTGTATTTATGTATTTTTTGAAACTTTTTGGCCACATGGCATGTGGGATCTTAGTTCCCCAGTCAGGAATAGAATCATACCCCCTGCATTGGAAGTGTGGCGTCTTAACCATTGGACCTCCAGGGAAGTCCTGAAAGTACTTTTAATTTATATTTCTAAATAAATATTCTTAACAGATTACTGTAACCCTCTTTCTAAGCCTTAAAGTTTTAGCCAAAAATAACTCACAGGACACAGCCTATAATTATTCGTATTGTACAATATTCAGTTTATAATTTTTTGTTTCTCACAGGTCGCATTTCTGTGCCTATTGACTTACAGAAAGTGGATCAGTTTGATCCATTTACTGTTCCAACCATAAGGTATGTTCCAGATCACTGATCACTCCTTTTTTGTTTGTGACTATTGTAAATGTGAAGTGAAGTGGATTAGATCCCTTCTGGTGAGGCAGCTTCTCTGAGGCTGTTTGATGGTGCCCTTCCAGAAGAGCATTTCCTAGTGAGTTCTACAGAACACAAGTTTTTCAGCTACTATTATGTAAAAAAAAAAAAAGTTCAAATAAGTTTGAGAAATGTTAACTTAAGCAAAATTTCCTAGTCTTTAATATGCTAACATGCATGGAAAACTCCAGAAAGATAGTATGATGTTTAGAATATCCCAAATTCATGTGGCCACATTTTTTTCACAGAAAATCTTGTGAGATTCCTGTGCTTTCATACACTGGGTAATGTTGACCAAGAATCAACTTTAAAATTATCTTCTATTATTTGTAGTTCCATTTGCCATGAATTGGATGTTATTTCTACTAAAGAAGAAAAAGAGAAGGGAGCTGAATCTGATATTAAACCCAGAACCAGAGGTAGGTTAGTACGTTGAAGTCTCACTTTAACATAGTCTTTTTATATTGACAGCTTTCTGTGACTCCAGTAATTAATTTGCCTTGGATTCAGACCAGAATGGATAATTGTTTATCCTGAAACCAGCTCAGTAGCAAATAATATGATCAAAATTTTTCCCTCCTTCATCAGTTGCCCAAATGGTGCTGTTGAATCCAATGTTGAGTCAACAAATACTCATAAAGTAACATTTAATGCCAGGATCTATACTGAGATTTTAAATTGTCAATTGATTTTGACAATTGTTTGAATCTCATAGTCTTAGATTCAATAACTCTTTACTTAACAACTACTATGTGTGCAGTGTTTTGTTCTGTACTTTTTGTATCCAGATGAGTGTTATGTTAAATATATGTCTAAACTGTAACAGAATTGTATATCCAAGAATTTGAAGGAGCTGGGAATATAAAACTGCCTGTTGCTGCTGCTAAGTCGCTTCAGTCGTGTCCGACTCTGTGTGACCCCATAGACGGCAGCCCACCAGGCTCCCCCGTCCCTGGGATTCTCCAGGCAAGAACGCTGGAGTGGGCTGCCATTTCCTTCTCCAGCGCATGGAAGTGAAAAGTGAAAGTGAACTCGCTCAGTCGTGTCCGACTCTTCGCGACCCCATGGACTGCAGCCCACCAGGCTCCTCCGTCCATGGGATTTTCCAGGCAAGAGGGCTGGAGTGGGGTGCCATTCCTTCTTTAAAAACTGCCTGTTAGTGAAAGTCAGGTCTTACACCAACAGCCCGAGAGACACTATGGCAGTAGTTCAGCAGTGCTTTCTCTGTTGGAAATGTCACGCACGGTCCAAATGGCAATCACTAGACTTTCCACGTGACTTTTGAGAACTTGAAATGTGAGAAACTGAATTTTTAGCTTCATATAATTTAAATAGCCTCATGTGACTCATGATTACTGTAATGGGCAGAACAGATCTCTGATTGATCTTTTTAGTCGAATGTTGCTACCTTTCTTTCAGAATCCAAGCTCAAATGTCACTTCATATATTTTAGCTCTAACATAAACAAGGTACATTCCTCCATCAGTATTTATAGAATGATTACAAGCATTCTGTTTAAAATAATGGACAAAACTCTAACAAATAAACTGGATAATAATAAACTGAAAAGAAAAAGAACTCAGGGAAAATAAACAATGCAAGGAACAGAGGAAACCTTTCTTTTTTTTTTAGCTTTTATTTATTTTTTTTCCCATTTATTTTATTAGTTGGAGGCTAATTACTTTACAATATTGTAGTGGGTTTTGTCATACATTGACATGAATCAGCCATGGATTTACATGTATTCCCCATCCCGATCCCCCCTCCCACCTCCCTCTCCACCCGATCCCTCTGGGTCTTCCCAGTGCACCAGCCCCGAGCACTTGTCTCATGCATCCAACCTGGGCTGGTGATCTGTTTCACCCTAGATAATATACATGTTTCGATGCTGATATCTCAAAACACCCCACCTCGCCTTCTCCCACAGAGTCCAAAAGTCTGTTCTGTACATCTGTGTCTCTTTTTCTGTTTTGCATATAGGGTTATCATTACCATCTTTCTAAATTCCATATATATGTGTTAGTATACTGTAATGGTCTTTATCTTTCTGGCTTACTTCACTCTGTATAATGGGCTCCAGTTTCATCCATCTCATTAGAACTGATTCAAATTAATTCTTTTTAATGGCTGAGTAATATTCCATGGTGTATATGTACCACAGCTTCCTTATCCATTCATCTGCTGATGGGCATCTAGGTTGCTTCCATGTCCTGGCTATTATAAACTGTGCTGCGATGAACATTGGGGTGCATGTGTCTCTTTCAGATCTGGTTTCCTCAGTGTGTATGCCCAGAAGTGGGATTGCTGGGTCATACGGCAGTTCTATTTCCAGCTTTTTAAGAAATCTCCACACTGTTTTCCATAGCGGCTGTACTAGTTTGCATTCCCACCAACAGTGTAAGAGGGTTCCCTTTTCTCCACACCCTCTCCAGCAGTTATTGCTTGTAGACTTTTGGATAGCAGCCATCCTGACTGGCGTGTAGTGGTACCTCATTGTGGTTTTGATTTGCATTTCTCTGATAATGAGTGATGTTGAGCATCTTTTCATGTGTTTGTTAGCCATCTGTATGTCTTAAAACTGATATCCTCAGAGATTAAGAGAAGACAGTGTACCCATGAAGCAAGACCAGAATGCTATGGGAAAAAAAGCATTCGTAATAAGAAAGAGGTCTTAGAAATCAAAAACATAATCATTAGAATAAAACTTTCACTGGAAGGGCTGGAAAAGAAAAGAGATTTCCTAGAAAGTAGTAGAAAAAAGACAATTTAGTTATGTTTTTTAAGGAGGAAAAAGATAAAGAGAATTAAAGACTGATTCAGGAGGTCTAATATCTGACAGAAAAAGAACAAATAAAACAGGGAGGGAAAAAAGTGTCAAAATTATATATGAAAACATCCCAGAAATGAGCCCTTTGTTGAAAGGGCTCAGCATAATGAGAATGATATGCGTACACCAAGGCACATCATTTTGAAATTTAACACTGAGAATTAAGAGAAGATCTTAAGAGCTTTCAGACCCCCTTCCAACAGTCCCTCCCCACAAAAAAGCCATGGACCTAGGAAGAATGACCTTAAATTTCTAAGTAAAAATGGAAGTATTCATTTTTAGAAATAAGTGCTAGAAAAGAAAAAAGTAGTTGCCATTCAAGAAGATGGAAAGGTTAGAATTAGGGCAGGGAGCTGCTATTTTTTTCCACATAAACCTATTAGTACTGTTTTTTTAAACGAATTACTTTTAACACAACTTTTTAAATTTAATAGTATCTCTTTGTGGACATCTTTTTACTTTGTTCAGAGGCTTTAAAGAAGCAAGTTTTGGCTCCCTATAAGGAGAAGCTTTATAATAAATATGTGTTCAGAAATGAACTGCACTTTCAAGTATTCATAAAGGCTATTAGCCATGAGTAAGGCAGGGATGCTTTAGATGAGGTTGGAGGCTGGCATAGGTGATACTTAAGTTCCTCATTACTTTTTTAATATCTATGATTCTAAACTTTTGTCCATTTTCATATTAGTACCATCTGCTCCTTCCCTTCTACTTCCCAAATACTGGTATGTTCCCTACCCTCCTTACTGACTATCTAATTAAATCTTTTTTCTAAGACCCAGTTCATAGCTACCTCAGTCACCTTTGATTGGTCAGTTCTTTGGACACAAAATTATCCGTATGTCTGTTTGGCCTTTAATTATATATTGTCTTCTGTTACTCCTCTATAGGAGTTGTTTTTCCAATTCATTTAAAAGCTTCTTGAAGGAACTCCCTAAATGTCCAGGGGTTAGGATTCCATACCTCCACTGCAAGAGCCCGGGTTCCATTCCTGGTCAGGGAACTAAGATCCTGCAAGCCTCTCAGAGTGGCCCAAATAAATAAATAAATACTTTAAAACATAAAAATTTCTTGAGATGAAGTAGTATGTATGGATTATACTTTTTATAACTTAGCATAGTACTCAATATATAATTATGGCATGTAGGATCTTAGTTCCCTGACCAGGGATGGAACCCTACCCTGCAGAGGAAGCATGGGGTCTTAACCACTGGACCTCCAGAGAAGTCCCTGGTTCCTTTTCTTTTTTTCTCTTTAAATTCTTTTAAGTAAACTATTATGAGTATTCTTAATTCCATGCAGATAAAATCCAAATCTCATGTTGATCTCAGTTAGATTTTTCCCTTCCTTTGGGTATTAATTATAGATTGTATAATTAAATGGATGACTAAGATTCTATATTCAAAGTTTTATATACATTTTTAAGACATTTACAAATCAGAGAATACCTATACTTAATGCATGTGACTATAAACTTCTGATCGTTTCCAGAAGGTATGGCCCTCACTTCACATTTTCAGTGTTTTGATCTATTGGTAAAACTATTTATTATTGAAGCCACAATTTCCAAAGAAAGGAGTGTTTGGTGGGACTTAATACATAGCAGTAGATGATGTTGGTCTAATACCAGAAAGCCTGACTACTAGAGTAGTTATATACATATGGTTTGGATGTTTTAGAGCAGCATTGTCTATTAATACATTATCCATATGTATTAATGTGGCTAGTATAACTAAAGAACAGGGTTTTGTTTTGTTTTGTTTTTTTAATTCTAATTAATTTAAGCTTAAAAACTGATAACTGATTCAATTATTGGAAAACTTTTAAGCATGTTAGAAAAATTAGTTATATTTTTTACCTACATATATTATAATTTAAATCTAGATCAAGTATTTCCAATGATATGATAATATAGTATCTGACAATAAGTTGAGTTATACTTTAAGTACAAAATACTAGATTTCAAAGACTTAGTATGAAAGAATGTAAAATATTTCAGTCTTTAATGGCAACCCACTCCAGTATTCTTGCCTGGAAAATCCCATGGATAGAGGAGCCTGGTAGGCTACAGTCCACTGGGTTGCAAAAGTCAGACACAACTGAGCGACTTCACTCACTTTTTATCATATGTTGAAATATTTTAGATATAATCGTTTAAAAAAATATACTATTAAAATTAATTTCGCCTTTTTAATGTGGCTACAAGAATGCTTTAAATTATACATTTCTCATTATTTTCTATTGGACAGCACCATTGTATAGGATTTTTACAAGAGACTAAAACTTATACTTTCATGTTATTCTTGCTGCCAAAATGCTAATTATAACTCATGGTCTTCATAATTTAGATTATAAGAAAACCAGTCTAGCTCCTTTTGTAAAAGTTTTCGAGCAGTTTCTTGAAAACCTGGATAAATCCCGAAAAGGAGAACTTCTCAAGAAGAGTGGTAAGATTCTATTTCTCTTATAGCTATTTTGATCTTAGTATGGGCAATTTAAAACATCTAGCGAGTGAACAATTTTTAGAGCTCTAATCTTTGCCCTCTCAAGAAAAGTTACTAGTTTATCTTACCATCTTTAGTGTTTTGAAAACTGAGGTCCCTTAATTCAATTCAGCACATACTTATTTAACACTTTCTATATGTCAGGTTCTATGAGAAAAATAAAAATGAATTATACAAGGATGAATTCCACACCATGGCTCCCTGCCCTTAGGGAGTACTAACTGATGCCAAAAAAAGTATAAAATGCTAAAAAAGCATCTGACTGAGAGAACCTGGGAAGATTTTATATGAAAAGAATGGCATTTAACTCTATTCAGTGAACTACTGCATGAATTCTAGTCCCCAGTGCCAGTATATCATGCCTTGAGGTATGAGTAGGAATTCCACAAACAGAGATTTGATGAGATAAAGATACTGGAGTGGAGAAAGGAGACAGGTTGCTCATTCTCGAAGGAACAGCAGAAACAAAGGCATAGACGCAGGAAAGCATGAAGTCACTCTAGAGGCCATCAAGTCGTATAGCTTATTTGGAAAAAGATGCATCAGGAAGTGATGAGATAGAAATTCAAAGAAGCCACAGTGTAGATTGCCTTGAATTCCAGTCTTGGGAGTTTGAGTTTAATTCACATGAACAGGGAAGCAATTAAAGCTTTTTGAGGAAGGGAGTGCCATGATTTGTAGTTGTGTCTAGAAAGATAAATCTATTAGCAGTATCTGGGGAGAAACAGGAAATAGATTGAGCTATTAGTATTAGGACAAATAGAGCTGGAGATCTCCAAAAAGTGCAGATACTAGAGCCATCCTTGAAACTTTTGGAAGTAATGATGTTTTTTGGAAGCTGAAAGATCTAAGTATAAGTGTCACAGAAGCCAAGCAAGAGGAAAGTTTCAATGAGCTTATCAAGTTCTTTGACTAGGAGACACCCAAGCATATGTGTAAGGCAAAAGGAAAAGAATCAGTAGTGAGTATTCAAGAGATTGATGAATACCATAGAAAATTGGCAATGTTATAGAAATACAAGCCCCCTTTCCACTTCATTTTTTAATAAAATGTGTGATGATTAAATAGTAGTGCTTTACTCATAGTAGACACTCAAAATACATGCTTGTTGAATGAACAGTGATGACTCTGGACTTAGAAAGCCTCATTGAAGCTGCCATTCCAATGGGGCATATTAAGTCCTTTGTATTCTCGTTCTGTACTAACTCAGCCTATGATGTGGGCTTCAGCAAATGTGAAATGTGAAAGCAAATCTTTATGCATGATGTGAATTTAATGGAAGCATTAAGCAAATCAGAATGTGAAATAAATGAGCTTTGTTTTCCTTTACTATCCTTGATAAAAATCTATTCTATTTTAGATTTACAAAAAGACTTCTGAAGATAACAAACAACTCCTTTTATATGAATATGGATTATCTTCTACCTTCAACCAAGAATCAAATACTTCAAGAGCCATTTAATAAACATAGCAGAACTGTGTATGTGTCTTAATGCTCAAAGCAAAATTTCCTTTTCTTGAGAAATAATTATGTTGAAAAGATTCGGGAAACCACCAAAGGAGAATGTTCAGATTCCTGGAAGGAGCAATACTGGGAGGATATAAGTGAATGCAGATTAATCTGTAAAATTTAATATTATAATGCTAAGATTACTGATACAGGTACTAACTTCTAGTAGTTGCCATATATAGAAGTAAGTGAGTAGTAATATGACCAAGACTTTAATGTCAACTCACCAGATCCAACCTCCGTATTTCTAGGTGTATAAGGGTTTTGTTCTTAATTAACACTTAAGTTCATTATACCTGGAGCGTGTATTCAGTAACTTCCTCATTTTGTTTACTGATATTTTTATTGGCCAGGCCACACCCCACTCCCTGTCTTTTAAAAAATCATTTTAAAATGGGCATCTAAACCTACAATAACTTTACTTCAAAAGATATGACTTAATACAGTTACAATATTAAAGTCTAATAGAGTATTTTTTATAACTGTTGGCAATTGTAGCTCCTAACTTCTTCCCTCAGAGAATAATTTTCTAAGCAATTTAGAAAAAATAAACACTTCACCAGCATAAACTTTTTATATTTGTCAAAACACTTGGACTTTGTATATCTCCAGACACTTAAATTTAATTTTAAAGGTTTCATTTCTTCCATATTTGATTTCAAGTGATAGATTCTGAAATGTCAGATTTCTTTTGCCTGGTTTTACAGCCAGTCTAAAAACAAAACAGTCATTCTGGTTTACATTGTCTTTTGAGAAACATTGAGAAGCAGGCTTTCAGGCTGGTGCTTTCCATGGGGTATGAAAATTTTCCTTTCTTCGCATTACCTATAACATTGTTTTCACCATAGCCACAGTCTTTTTTTTTTTTGTCTTTTGTCTTTTGACTTATATAAAACAGATTGTGTAATACAGTCAACACACTGAAATGGCTTGCATTTCTTTCTCTTTTCTAATTTTTTAAGAAAAAAATTAAAGACTATTGTGTTTGTGTAAAATTCCTCTGTTGAACTTCTGTTTGCTACATATTGTTCAGTCTTTTTGGAAAACAGTGACTGGTCAATTAAAACTCCTGAATACAAAATTACTAAAGACAAGTTAGTCCATCTTAAGTACTCAGAATGAGAGGAGAAAAACTGGGTGGGATTACCCGTCCAGCAAAAGATGTTTAGCATTAAAGCAATATGTCTAGCATTAAAGCATTTTAACGCTTTAATATTAGAGTCCTTGATAAAAACTGGTATAACAACCAATAAACTAAGTTACAGAATATATTGTGCTTGTATATAACAATGTCTGGTTCTTGAAAATAGCAGAAACATGCTCAAAGACAACTGACTTCTCTAACTCTGATTTGCCAACTCATCCATGTATGAAAATTGTGGAAACAAAGGGCCAGTTAAAGGCCCAGTTTATAAAGAAACCCAAAGACAGTACATCCTTCCTTAGCTAACGATTAACAATTATAAGTCAGTGGGCTTGCTGGGAAAGAAAGGGGCGTAGTCAGAATGTTTTACGTATCTAAGGCCACAGTTGGCTATTATGGGCCCTTCTGAAGGTAAATGGAATGCACTGAAAGCCTCCCAGATCACTACTAAGCAGAAATTCTATCAAAAATTTTAATAGTAACAAATTAGCTTACATTACCTTCCTAACAATCCAATGAAGTAATCCTAACCACTATAGTAAAATGGTGAAATTTTAAAGTAGCTTTTAGAGCATTTAAAATATTCACTGCCTATCTTAAAAGTGTCAGGCTCTCAGTCATGTCCACTCTTTGGGACCCCATTAACTGTAGCCCTCCAGGCTCTGTCCATGGGATTTCCCAGGTAAGAATACTGGAGTGGGTTGCCATTTCCTTCTCCGGGGGAATTTCCCCACCCAGGAATCCAACCCTCATCTCCTGCACTGCAGGCAGATTCTTTACCCTCTGAGACAATAGGAAGCCCACTTATCTTAAAAGGTAGCCACAATTGTCTTAAAGCCACTAGATTTTAAGTGCATTTAAAGTGTGTTGGAGAAGACTCTTCAAAGGCCCTTGGACTGCAAGGAGATCCAACCAGTCCATCCTAAAAGAGATCAGTCCTGGGTGTTCATTGGAAGGACTGTTGAAGCTGAAACTCCAATACTTTGGCCACCTGATGTGAAAAGCTGACTCATTTGAAAAGACCCTGATGCTGGGAAAGATTGAGGGCAGGAGGAGGAGACGACAGAGGATGAGATGGTTGGATGGAATCACTGACTCAGTGGACCTGGCTTTGGGTAGACTCCGGGAGTTGGGTGATGGACAGGGAGGCCTGGCGTGCTGCAGTTCATGGGGTCGCAAAGAGTCACGACTGAGCGACTGAAATGAACTGGAAGTGTGAATACTATATTTGTTGAGTCCTTTTGGAGAGAGGATATGGGACTCAGGACCCCTAACCTTTTCATTAACAAAACATTTACATTCTACTTTTCAAAAACTCTACTATATAAGGAGTGGGATCCTCTAGAACGGATGAGTTTCAGGATACAGTGTCCAAAATAGAGGCAAAAAGAAATAGCTGAGTATAGAAATTTACACCTTCACGATAATCTCACTTTAATTATGTATTTCCAAAGTAAAATAATTGACAGCCTAGGTCACAGCTACCTTTCATTGGTGTGACTACAATCTCCGTGTATTCGGCATTATTTAATAACATCGTTCTACTGAATTAACTGATAAAACGAAGTCAGAAAGTAATAATGTTGCGGCTACTTTCCTGACACGAGAGCAGAGGCTACTGCCTTTCGCGTATCAAAAATGCCTCGACATGGGGGACGCGAAGGGGTCGGCTATCTAAGGACGGCATAGCTCAGGATAGAGAGTTCTGCCAGGCCAGCGACTCCAGTTCTAAATTCATACCCTTATTTAGACCTCGGCACCACCCCCAACTGGAAACAGCCGGATGGCTCACTGGTTAAAGGAAGTGACTGTAAGCAGCTCCTGACCCGGAATTAGATCCTGGCCCCGCCCCCTCCGCCAGGCTTCGTTCTGCAACAGGCGTGGGTCACGCTCTCGCTCGCTCGCTCTCTTTCTGCCGCCATCTTGGTTCCGCGTTCCCCGCACAGTAAGTGCTTGTCTTCGCCGCTACTTTTTTATCCGTAGCCATCCGTCTTTCTTGCGGCCTGAGGCGGCGCGCAGAATAGGAGCTAAGGATAATTAGAAGTTTTATGGGGTCATGGGGCTCCTATTCAACCCTGGGCAGCGTGGCCTTGGGGCCTCCGGACAAAATGGGGTCTGCTCTTGGTGTCCTGGCAAGAGTAGGGCACAAAGGCCAGGGAGTCCAGAGCTGGGGAGATGGGAACCGTTGGGGATGGAAGTGGGGTGCGTCTGCTGTTGGACCCGGCTTCGCCAGAACCCAGCGGAGGTTAAGGGGTCACAGCTTTGGAACAACCACCCCCACCCCTGCGCGCGCTCGCGCGTGTATACACACACACCCTTACTGTGACAAGCCAGTGTTGGGACTTAAGACACCCTCTGTCCCCTTCTGAGTCCCGGAAGTCAGCAAACGCGGGTCGTGGAGGTCCTCGCCCAGAAAGCGCGCGGGGGAGACGGGGCGCGGCGTTTCAAGGTAGCGTCTGAAGTCTCCCATCCCGTGCTCAGGAGCCAGACCGGGATCCTCTCCCTCGGGTTGAGAACGCAGTGATAATTGCTTCTGTGTGGGATTTGGAGTGTGGAATAAAACGAATCCCTGGGCACTGGGAAATCCGCTCTCCGCGGAGTGAAGAGGAGCGACAAAAAAAAGGTGATTCTCTTGATGTGAGGGTTACGTCGTGTTTTTCACCTATTCCAGCTACTTTGGGGAGGGCTGTCCCACACACCTTTACGGTATTTAACAGCCCTCGGCAGTTTTAAGCGTGACTCTGGATCCTAGTCAATTCAGGCCTCCTTTTTATTCCCTTCAGAAATGCCCGGTGAAGCCACAGAAACCGTCCCTGCTACAGAGCAGGAGTTGCCACAGCCCCAGGCTGAGACAGGTAGGTTCCCCCTGGACCCCTTGCCCTTAATTAAGATTGTAAGATTGGCCCTAAAAACATTTGGTGGGTTAAGTGACAAATAGACTGTACTTAGTATTGGTTCTCATTAAAGCAGCTGGGTCTGTAGCTTTACCAGGGAGGAGAGCCCATAGTAGTAACTCACCTATGGGAAACAGGCGACAGTGGCAGGCCAAGGAGACCTGGGCTTTTGTGAGGTCCCAGCCAGCAAGTTGCATCAAGGTTTTAGATGGCAGTGCTTGGCGTTGTGCCCTCATCACATGCATGGATGAGATGTGTGCTGGTGGTAAATGTGTTCTCCTGGGCTCTGGGGCCCTCCTAGATTGGTTAACTTGTTTTGTGGATTGGTGCTGAACTGTTTGTAGTGTCCTGGGACAATGCCTGCACCAACAGCTTATCTGGAACCCAGGATTGAATTAGAGTCTTCTTTTGACCGCTCTTCGGCTTTGAAACTAATGAATGTAGAAGGTAGTGTAAATGCAAGGTTTGAATTCTGTTTAAAATATATCTCTACAAAACCTGAGAGGGGGTAGTGAAAAAAACTTCTATGGTAATCTTCTTGCTGTTCAGTTGTGCAGAAGTAAACGAAGGGAATCTTCAGGCTTTGACCATACTTGCCTCTCCCCGCCCCCATGGTAAATTTTTTTTTTTTTTAAACTCCACCTGTCACTTAAGGGCAGTTTCTCCTGGAAATAGTTGAAAGCATTAAGGTTCTCCCTCCCCACCTGTCTGATTTAGCAGCTGAAAGGATTAATACAGCTGCTGGAAAAGAAAAGGGAGGGGGCCTCTGAGCTGGGGAATGAGCTATGTGAAATCCTTGAACTACTGGGACTTAAGGAAGGTTAAAAATTTACAAGTGTGGAGACTGAAATTCAGATGAACTTTGAATAATCTGAATCAAGCTTCAAAATTAATGCTGTTTGCTTCCGAAGCAGTCCTCAGAACTGTTAAACTTATTCCTGAGTATTTTGAGATTGCATTGTAGGTTAGATTAAGTGCCTGTGATGAATACTCAGGGTTTGTTTTTTGGGCGGTAGGGGGTTTGATACATAACTATAACCAAATAATTACTAGAGTAAGTGAGGAAACGGACTTAGGAAATTGGTTATGGTGTCTAAAGCAAGTCATTTGGGCCTTATCCCGGAGTTTTGAGGTTCAGTGAGAAGAAAACATTCTAAGTTTCAAGTTCTGATTAATACGTTTGAGAGCATTTGCACTGTAGTCATAAAGACTTTGAGCTACCAAGTTTCTAGGAAAGACTGGTTTGAGCACTACCTCTGTAGTGGGGTACTCTTGGTTGAGTGAACTGTGAATTTGGATGCTCTAGGCTTTTTAAAAAAATAATAATAATACTCCCTTCTAGGTGTTGAGCAATCATTCAGAATCTTTTGCACAGCTTCAGTGTGGTGCCAAGTAATGCCTGTTTTGGCACAGTGGCATACTCATTCAGATTAAGGGGTGGGGACCCAGCGTATTCTCTCCACAGTCTAGTTTGACAAGTTGGATTACAGTTTCATAATACAGTTCCTACGCTTGTGACTAATCTGTTACTCGTGGTCTGATTCATCCAGATTGATGTCTGAAGAGTTAACATTGCTTAGAGACTGCGGAGTCCGCACTTTTGCGGTTGGTTTTTTTGTTTGTTTGATTTGGGTGAGTAAAATGAGGTATAGGGAAGCTCGGTGACTTAGTATTTAATATTGAGTATTCTGAAGCCTGAGCATTTAGAGACCTGTTTTTCTCATTCAGCTCTGATTCTCCATTATTGCCACTCATTACCTTCCTTGTTCCAGTTTTCAGCATTTGTTTCAATTCATGCTCCTTGACTGGATAGAGTAGCACTTTCTAGTGGTGACTCCGTGGTCTGTGAGAAAGTCTTAGGGTCCCTTTGAGGTGGGAAGAGAAGGGCACATCTCGGAAGGAACGGTAGGAAGCCTGCTGTTGCCAACTTACTCCTGGGCTGGCGCTCCCCAGTTAAAGACCAACAGACGGCTCTTGGACTGTTCTTCACCCTAAAGTGGTTTACTTATTTTAGTAGATTTGGGAAAGGAGAAGAATGAGGTATTCTACTTGACTTCTGAAGTGTGTTTGGGGAGGTCGCTGTTGCTTGTCACCTTTGTCTAATCCTGCGTGGTCACGTTTGTTCTCAGATTTAAATTTCCAGCGTTTCTTGTGTGAGGCATGTTGTACCAAGTCAGGCTGTATAACTCACTTTTGTTTTTTCCTTCCCTCTCCTCCTTCATCCCCGCCACCACCCCCCCCCCCCCCCCCCCCCGCCCCCGGCTTTTCTTCTCCAGCTGTGCCGCCTGTGTCTTCAACCTTGAGCGTCACTGCTGCTTTAGGGCAGCCTAAACCCGCCCCCACCCCTCCCTGCTCCCTGGCCTCCCAGCAGTGCCCTCTGGCAACCCCTAACCAGCCTTCCCCCTTCCTTTCTCCCTCGACCATGACCTCAGCCCCTTGTGAAGCTCTTCTTCTGCAGTCATCCCACGGGACGGCCCTGCCTCTGGGGGCTGCCCCTCCCACTGACCCCCCCGTTTTCTTACCAAACCTGATAGGGCCTCCTATCTCCCCAGCTGCCTTAGCTCTGGCCTCTCCCATGATAACTCCACCTCTGAAAGGTGCTCATTCCTCCTCAGCCCCCTTGGCTCTGGTGGCCTTGGCTCCCCACTCAGTTCAGAAGAGCCCTGCCGAACCCCCGAACCCCCTCAGTGCGCCTCCTTCAGTTGCCGTGGTTGAGTCAGGGTCAGTGACATCATTGTCAGCTCCAGTTGCTCGCTCAGAACCAAAGCCCTCTCCTAGTCAGGCTCCCTCTCAACTAACTCCTAATCCAAAGGATACCCCCAACCCTCCAAGTACAGTCAGTGCTATCCCTTCCCATCTTGTAACTCCTTTGGCCTCTGTTCAGTCTGAACTAGCCTCATGTTCTCAGATACCACCCGCCATCCCTTCCCCTCAAGTCAAAGGTGTCCCCATCTCCTCAGCTCTGACTACTCCACAACACCCTGTGAGCCTCAGCCTGAAGGGTCCACCTGCTGCTCCATCTCTTCCAACTCAGTCCTTTGCTGTGGCTGCTGCGTCCCCCCCGGTTTTCCTCACTTCTCTGGGCTCTCATCTTACACCTTTACATCAGAGTTCTCCTGTCCAAACTTCAAGTTCTAATGTTCTGTCAGATCCCATAGAAGGTACTATTTTTGTAGATCATTCTTCTGTGGATCCCTGTTACACTTCTCAGAGATCTGTAATTCCTCCCCCTCCTTCCAGAAATGAGGTGGTTCCTACTGCTGTGACTGCTTTTCCAGGGGGGGCTCCCACTTCCTCTCTGGCTCTGTCTGCCGACAAAGGCATCTCTGCTGTCCCTGACCTGGTCTCCTCAGACATCGCTGCCTCTTCTCCATTATCTCCTACCGCCCCTCTCATTCTCAAAGATGTTCCTAGTACAGCAGCCCTGGCAGCGCCTACGCATCCCCCCTCTCCCCAGAGCACATCGCCTTCTCCAGAGACGGCTCTTTCTCCTGAAGCCGCCCTGGCAGCAGAAAGCTCCCCAGGGCCTCTCCCTGTGGTGAAGCCGGCCAGGACTTCTCCCTCTTCTCTGAGTGCCAGCTCCCCAGTCTCTGTGATCAACACAGATTCTTACACAAGCCCAGACCCAACTAATCTGCTTCTCAAAACTTCTTTCACTACCCCACCTGTAGCTCCATTTCCTTTGGAAAGTGCTGCCATTGATGGAATGGCTCCTGCAGCTGCCAAAGGTACTTGCGCTCCTTCAACTCTAGCCAGTCCTTCCACTCTTACTACTTTACCACTGATGCCTCCAACCTCTGAGAGTTGCCCTGTGGCTCCAGCAGTGACTTTATCTCCCCAGAATGCTTCTCCTTCTCTAGCTCCTATGGCACAGGTCCCTGAAATTCCCAAGTCTGAGTCTGCTACCCTTCTGCCTCCAACTCATACTCCTCAGGGTGCAAAGAAAGTTCATGGCATTTCTCAAACCTCACCATTGGCGTCTGTGGCTTCCCCTCCTGAAGGGTGCCCAACTGAGGACTCTGGTGCTTCTGTTACTGCATCTTCCAAAGGAATGTGCCTTGCTGGCTCCCTGTCTCCTTTAGGGACTACTGTGTCTCCTCAGCCTAAAAGAATTCCAACCAAGAAGGGTTCAGCTACTGCTCCCTTAAGTCTTGCCCCTTCTGCTTCTAAAAGTGTACCTGCTATCCCTGATACTCCTGCTGGAAATCTTTCGTTCACTGTTTCTCCAGTTGAAGCTTCCTCTCTTCCAGAGGCCGATCTTCTTTTTCATGTCTCTAAAGGATCACTAGTCGAGAAGCATTCCCCTACTCCTCCATCCCCCAAAGAGACTCCTGTTCCCCCACCTATGGCTCCTCCCCCCAAGGAGGGGCCAGCATCCCCATCCCCTAAAGAAACCCTTACTCCTTTAGCTGTGACCCCTTCCACCCCCAAAGGAGCCCCAGCAACTCCTTCCCCCAAAGAGGCTCCCACTCCCCTAGCTATGACTCCTCCTTCCCCCAAAGGGAGCTCAGCAACCACATTACCTAAAGAGACTCCACTTCCTGCCATGACCCCTTCCTCCCCAAAAGGAGCCCCAGCAACTCCTTCCCCAAAACAAACCCTAGCCACTCCACCTCCCAAAGAGGCTCCCACTTCCCCAGCTATGGCTCCTCCCTCTTCCAAAAGAACGCCAGTTAACCCACCTCCAAAGGAGGACTCCATTCCCCTAGCTGTGACTCCTCCCTCCCCCAAAGGGAGCCCAGCAACTCCATCTCCCAAAAAAGCCCCAGCTAGCCCACCTCCAAAGAAAGAGTCCACTCCCCCACCTGTGACTCCTCCCTCCCCCAAAGAGAGCCCAGCAACTCCATCTCCCAAAAAAGCCCCAGCTAGCCCACCTCCAAAGAAAGAGTCCACTCCCCCACCTGTGACTCCTCCCTCCCCCAAAGGGAGCCCAGCAACTCCATCTCCCAAAAAAGCCCCAGCTAGCCCACCTCCAAAGGAAGAGTCCACTCCCCCACCTGTGACTCCTCCCTCCCCCAAAGGGAGCCCAGCAACTCCATCTCCCAAAAAAGCCCCAGCTAGCCCACCTCCAAAGAAAGAGTCCACTCCCCCACCGGTGACTCCTCCCTCCCCCAAAGAGAGCCCAGCAACTCCATCTCCCAAAAAAGCCCCAGCTAGCCCACCTCCAAAGAAAGAGTCCACTCCCCCACCTGTGACTCCTCCCTCCCCCAAAGGGAGCCCAGCAACTCCATCTCCCAAAAAAGCCCCAGCTAGCCCACCTCCAAAGAAAGAGTCCACTCCCCCACCTGTGACTCCTCCCTCCCCCAAAGGGAGCCCAGCAACTCCATCTCCCAAAAAATCCCCAGCTAGCCCACCTCCAAAGGGAGAGTCCACTCCCCCACCTGTGACTCCTCCCTCCCCCAAAGAGAGCCCAGCAACTCCATCTCCCAAAAAAGCCCCAGCTAGCCCACCTCCAAAGGGAGAGTTCACTCCCCCATCTGTGACTCCTCCCTCCCCCAAAGGGAGCCCAGCAACTCCATCTCCCAAAAAAGCCCCAGCTAGCCCACCTCCAAAGGAAGAGTCCACTCCCCCACCTGTGACTCCTCCCTCCCCCAAAGAGAGCCCAGCAACTCCATCTCCCAAAAAAGCCCCAGCTAGCCCACCTCCAAAGGGAGAGTTCACTCCCCCACCTGTGACTCCTCCCTCCCCCAAAGGGAGCCCAGCAACTCCATCTCCCAAAAAAGCCCCAGCTAGCCCACCTCCAAAGGGAGAGTTCACTCCCCCACCTGTGACTCCTCCCTCCCCCAAAGGGAGCCCAGCAACTCCATCTCCCAAAAAAGCCCCAGCTAGCCCACCTCCAAAGGAAGAGTCCACTCCCCCACCTGTGACTCCTACCTCCCCCAAAGAGAGCCCAGCAACTCCATCTCCCAAAAAAGCCCCAGCTAGCCCACCTCCAAAGGGAGAGTTCACTCCCCCACCTGTGACTCCTCCCTCCCCCAAAGGGAGCCCAGCAACTCCATCTCCCAAAAAAGCCCCAGCTAGCCCACCTCCAAAGGGAGAGTTCACTACCCCATCTGTGACTCCTCCCTCCCCCAAAGGGAGCCCAGCAACTCCATCTCCCAAAAAAGCCCCAGCTAGCCCACCTCCAAAGGGAGAGTCCACTCCCCCACCTGTGACTCCTCCCTCCCCCAAAGAGAGCCCAGCAACTCCATCTCCCAAAAAAGCCCCAGCTAGCCCACCTCCAAAGGGAGAGTTCACTCCCCCACCTGTGACTCCTCCCTCCGCCAAAGGGAGCCCAGCAACTCCATCTCCCAAAAAAGCCCCAGCTAGCCCACCTCCAAAGAAAGAGTCCACTCCCCCACCTGTGACTCCTCCCTCCCCCAAAGGGAGCCCAGCAACTCCATCTCCCAAAAAAGCCCCAGCTAGCCCACCTCCAAAGTGGGATTTCACTCCCCCACCTGTGACTCCTCCATCTCCAAAAAAGGCCTCGGCAACTCCATCACCCAAAGCAACCCCCACTCCCTCTGCTGTGACTTCTCCTCCCCCTAAAAGGGGTCCAGCAACCCCACCTCTCACAGGAGACCCTGCTCCCCCATCTGTGGCTCCTCTCTCCCCCAAAAGAGCCTCAGCAATTCTGACTCCCAAAGAGTCTCCAGCAACTCCAGACCCCAAAGAGATCCCCACTTTCGCAGCCATGACTCCTTCCCCCACAGAGGCCTCAGCAACACCATCACTCAAAGGAACCCCCACTCCTTTAGCTGTGGCTCCTCCTTCCTCCAAAGGGACTCCGGCCCCCAAAAGAGCCTCAGTAACTCCAACCGCCAAAGAGGTCCCTACTTCCCCAGCCGTAACTCCTTCCACCAAAAAAGCAACAGGAACCCCAGTCCCCAAAGGGGTACCCACTCCCTCAGCTGTAATTCCTCCCTCCCCAAAAAAGTCTCCAGTCCCCAAAGAGGGCCCAGCAACCTCATCCTCCAAAGGGGCTCCCACTCCCCCAACTGTGATTCCTCTCTCTCCCAAAGAGGCCCCTGCTTCCCCAGTTTCAGTCACATGTCCCTTGGGATCCACTGCCCCTCAGGCATCTAAAGGGCCCCCAGTAAAGAAAGGCCCCACAGCTGTCAAAGCAGTGCTTGATGGTTCAGCTCCAGAAAGTGCACCGGTCATCACAACTCCCACTCAGAAAGGTCCACCAGCCAAGAAGAGTTCTATTTCACCACCTGTCTGCCCAGATCCCTCTGCTCAGAATGGTACTAAAGGACCCCTTCCTGCAGTGGCTCCAGCTCCTCTACTGACAGTCTCTACTCAGAAAGGTTCTTCTCCAAAGGCTCCAAAAGCCCTCCCTGTCTCTCCCTTAAAGGGCAAGGATTCTTTCCATTCCCCAAAGGGCCCCTTGGCTCCTCCTCCTGAGTCAGAGACATCTACCCCTTCAGCAACAGCTGCCCCAGAGAAGGTCCTTCCTAAAGCTGGATCAGTGTCTGTCTCTCCAGCACCTACCCCATCAGTCTCTCTGCCTCTTGCTTCCTCCCCAGTTCCCCCTCTGCTTCCTAAACAGCAATTTCTGCCGTCCTCACCTGGGCTGGTGCTGGAATCACCCTGTAAGCCCTCAGCCCCTGCTGATGAGGATGAGCTGCCGCCTCTGATTCCCCCGGAACCAATCTCGGGGGGAGTGCCTTTCCAGCCGGTCCTCGTCAACATGCCCACCCCCAAACCTGCCGGGATCCCTGCCCCGACCCCCTCTGCCAAGCAGCCTGTTCTGAAGAACAATAAGGGTATTTGCCTTGGTTTGCCGTGTGCATGGTGTGTTGCCCACAACCCTCCCGGGCTACCCACCGATACTAACCATAGGGTGCGCCGCTTTCTCCAGGACATCTGCTTGTGTTTGGGCATAGAACAATAAGTGTAAATGCAGAAACTCTAGGAATGTGAGACGGAGTCTTGGTTTTCGCCTCAGATAGTCCATTGTGTACTATCTTGTGTAACGTGGTCCAGACTAACTCTGGGTCCCTCATCTTCCTTACCTGACTGATCTGACACTGAAAACCGAGACCTCCTAGACGTTTAATCTGCTCTAATCTCTACCACATCACTAACCTTGTCCCTGGGCCTGGGATTTGCTAAAATATTGGGAAATGTAGAACTACTTGAATTTCTTCGCATCTTAAACTTAGTAATAACAGTGCCCAGGGACTCTTTTCCTCCAAGACCTATTTTTCCTAGCCTGAGAATGGTGGAAGGTGTATGCTTTTTCCCTCAGTAGTCTGTTGATGCTTGGCCTTTGAATTGAGGGAAACTTAAATATGTGAGTTACATTTGGAAGAAATGGATGAGGTCATAGGACAATTATCTAGAAGTGAAATTATCTAGAAGTGACTATTAGAACTATAGATCAGCATTTTGAGAATCTTCGAGTCGTGTTGATTAGATCAAACTGCTAGGGTTAGCAGTTTCAAAATAAAGCTAAATGTGTACACAACTGCTTCTGGCTCCCCCAAACCAGTTTAAAGGATGAGGGGGAAGTGTCCTCTCCCCACAACACCCTCAAGACTGCCTCTACGATGTCATCGTAACTGTTTTCACTGAAGTATATCTGGAGGCACCTTGCCCACCAGCGATGGATGGGCTGTTGGGTGGAATTTGGCATTGCATAAATCATTGGTATTTGCCTGTGCCGAGAAGGGAAGAACTTGAAGGAAAAGTCACAGTTATACAAACTGCTTAGCTGGGTCGAGTGTTTCTGGGGCTGGGTCTTTAATGGATGTGTACACACTAGTTTGTGACTAATTTACAGGCTATCATACTGCATGAGCCGACTTCACATAAGTCCACTGGTTTGCACTACATTTTCTGAGGTCTGGCGTAAACCAGTGACTTTTGGTGTGGGCAGGCCATGGTGACGTGCCTCTTGTAATCTTTACTATAAAATAGTAAAAGTTATTTGTCATTCTAGGGTCTGGAACAGAATCCGATAGTGATGAATCAGTCCCAGAGCTTGAGGAGCAGGATTCTACACAGGCAACCACACAGCAAGCTCAGGTGGGTATTAACTTACTAGTGTAAGTACTAGGGTCAGAGAAACATGGGTGAACCAGTGTTGACCAGAGAAAGCTGGCTTATGCGTTTGGAGCTGTGAACTTTCATAAAGGGAAAACCACGTGGGGATTTTGGTGTCCAGGTCTTCCATTCCAGTTTACTCACAGCTATTTGATTTTCTTAGCTGGCAGCAGCGGCTGAAATCGATGAAGAACCAGTCAGTAAAGCGAAACAAAGCCGGAGTGAAAAGAAGGCACGGAAGGTAAGAATTGAAGTTACAAAGTTAGAGGTTCTGATGGAGCAGCTTTCGAAAGGGGGATCTGTGGTAGAACTGAAGGTAGTGGCAGGAAGCCTGAGAATCAATGATGTATTCCTGTATAAACTTTTCTTTCTTTACCCACAAAAGTCTTTGCTTAGAATGTAATTTTGTTGAGTGTATTTCCTGAAGCTGGTTCTAAAGAAGTTGACAACCTGTTCTTTTTTATTCTTTAGGCTATGTCCAAACTGGGCCTTCGACAGGTTACAGGGGTTACTAGAGTCACTATCCGGAAATCTAAGAATATCCTTTTTGTCATCACAAAACCAGATGTGTACAAGAGCCCAGCTTCAGATACCTACATTGTTTTTGGGGAAGCCAAGGTAAGGAAAGTTTTCTTGAGAATTGCTGTAGACTAGGATTTCTCAACCTCAGTGCTGTTGACATTTTGGGTCAAATAATTCTTTGTTGTAGCAGGGCTATCCATTAAGCAGTATCACTTGCAATTGTGATAACCAACAGAATTTCCAGGCTTTTGACAGATACCCCTGGGGAACAAAATCACCCTCCAATGGAGGGCCACTGCTTTAGACATAAGCTATTTCTTTGTCTACAGGGATATATCAGTATAATCTGAGTTAGATCAAGTGATTTAAGGCTAGGTAGTAAGTTAATGTGATTTACATTTAAGTTAGATTTAGAGAGCGTTTGGGAAAGATGCCATTTTGTTGATCTACTGCGATTGACCTACTCATTTGAATCTGAACTTTCCGTCCTATAGATTGAGGATTTATCTCAGCAAGCACAGTTAGCAGCTGCTGAGAAATTCAAAGTTCAAGGTGAAGCTGTCTCAAACATCCAAGAAAACACACAGACTCCAACTGTGCAAGAGGAGAGTGAAGAGGAAGAGGTATATAAGGAAATCTCTTGTACCTTAAATCCTCTCAAGATAATACCATGTTTGTATTGATGGGTGTGTTCTATATGGTTTTAGGCTCTCCACTAGTTAAGTAGCTTTTGACTTATATTAAGTACTGTCTATTGATTCAGGAGATGCCTGGCAACTATTGAAGTTGTTCTTGCCTTTAGTTTATTAAGTATTTTTTCCTTATCTTAGGTTGATGAAACAGGTGTGGAAGTTAAGGACATAGAATTGGTCATGTCACAAGCAAATGTGTCTAGAGCAAAGGCAGTCCGAGCCCTGAAGAACAACAGTAACGATATTGTAAATGCTATTATGGTAAGTATCAAAGCTTATTCCTTGACTCCCTCTGCCCTGACCAATTGTGGGTGACTATTTTTTGTGCTTAATATCAGCCAATTAAGAAGCCTCTTTCCAGAGCCTGTTCTGAGTTTTCTTGGATTTTAGTGACCTGTATTCTCTGAATTTGCCTGTAACCACACTTCTGATGATCTCTTTTCTCTTACAGGAATTAACAATGTAACCATCTGAAAAGAGGACCTTTTTTTGGTGTTTCAAAAGAGTAACTGCAGCTGGGTTTGAAATTTGTACTGTTTCTATCATTAATAAAGTTATGGCTTCTTGTTGGATGAACTCAGTGGGTGCTTGATCTCTTCGGCGAGGTGGGGGGACAAAAGCTCTAGAAAGGAAAACACATTTCTTTGTAACTCTTAAGACCTCAGCTTCAGTTAAAGAGGTTTAATGCCACAGGTTTCCCTCTTAACATCTCAGCCTTTTCACCTCTTATAAGAAGATACTGTTCATGTTATTAGAAACTTGTTTTCAGAGACTGCAACTTAACTATAAGTTTCTCATTTCTTTCCTAGATGTTAACTCTTAGCAAATCCTGATTTTTCTGTATTTAATAATTATCCCCTCCTCTGACCTATGATGTTTCTGAAAACATTGGGACTCATCTGGCCTCTTGTCAGGTAATAGCTTGGTACAGGGTTGGAAGTAACAGATGTGAAATGCTTGCCTGAGGCCAGATGAGGCCCAGTATGTATTCAGATAGTACTTTGTAAAAAAGTGAAGATGCTAGGACTTCCCTAGTAGTCCAGTGGCTAAGACTCCTCACTCCCAATGCCGGGAGCCCAGGTTAAATATTTTTTTAAAGGAAGGTACCTCATGAAGGAGAGACTTTTGACTATAGACAGTGCGCATGCTGTCCTCTTAGACATACAGACATATTAATCTATAAATTATGATTAGGGTAGCCATAATTGTGCTACGATAATAAATGAAATCAAAACTGCTCCAGGCAAACTGGCACATACAGTTTAGCCAGTCATGATAAATACACAATACAGATAACTCTAGAAGTCATAAGAACAGTGAAGTTTGTGAGCTTAGGTTATTCAATTCAATTGCTCAGTCGTGTCCAACTCGGCAACCCCGTGGACTGCAGCACACCAAGCTTCCGTGTCCATCACCAACTCCCAGAGCTTGCTCAGACTCGTCCGTTGAGTTGATGCCATTCAGCCATCACGTCCTCTGTCATCCCCTTTTCCTGCCTTCAATCTTTCTAAGCATCAGGGTCTTTTCTAATGAGTCAGTTCTTCCTATCAGGTGGCCAAAGTGTTGAAGCTTCAGCATCAGTCTTTCCAATGAATATTCAGGACTGATTTCCTTTAGGATTGACTGGTTTGATCTTGCAGTCCAAGGGACTCGAGAGCCTTCTCCAACACGACAGTTCAAAAGCATCAATTCTTCGGCACTCAGCTTTCCTCATGGTCCAACTCTCAACACCCATACATGACTGACTACTGGGAAAGCCACAGCTTTGACTAGATAGACCTTTCTGGGCAAAGTAATGTCTCTGCTTTTTAATATGCTCTCTAGGTTTGTCATAGCTTTTCTTCCAAAGAACAAGCGTCTTTTCATTTCCTGCCTGCAGTCACCATCTGCAATGATTTTGGAGCCCAAGAAAAGTGTTTCCAGTGTTTCCCCATCTTTTTGCCATGAAGTGATGGGACTGGATGCCATGATCTTAGTTTTTTGAATGTTGAGTTTTAAGCCAACTTTTTCATTCTGCTCTCTCACTTTCATCTAGAAGCTCTTTAGTTATTAGGAAGTGGTTTGGCAGAGAGCAGAGGGCTAAAATTTGAAAATAGGAAGGATACATTTTTAAAAAATTAGACACTGTGGTACATTTTGGGAACTAAAGTTTAAATCTTTTTACTATTCTCAGTCCCTTTGAGAAAGTAGGCATTATTTTAGGAGTTGGGATTAAGACATGAGGACCAAAAGAGGTTAAATGACTTCCCCAAAGACCAAAGCCTTTTCACTGGTAGGCTATCCTAGAGAAGCACAGATTGACATCTGGCTGAAAATAATGATCTGCTTCTATTTCTCTGGAGTAAAACAATCATTAAATGAACAGAAGTCTCAAGAGGCTGAAGTCTGCCAAGTCTGAGTCAGGTAGTAATTATTTCAGGAGAAATTAGGGATATTAACTCCCATTTCCTCACCCTTCCCTCTCTACAGAGAGAACAAACGGCCAGTTCTTGGTTACATTTTTAGAGAAGGATCTTGTTCAAGGCTATTACTGCCGCTGATAACTCCCGTTTCAAACTATTGCTACCCTTTATATCATGTATTACAGGCATTTGTTGTTTAGTTGCTAAGTCCTGTCTGACTTGTGACCCTGTGGACTATCACCCACCAGATCCCTCTGTTCATAGGATTTCCCAGGCAAGAATACCAGAGTGGGTTGCCATTTCCTTCTCAAGGGAGTCTTGCCAACCCAGGGACCAAGCCCGTGTCTGTTGCTTGGCAGGTGGATTTTTTTTACCAATGAGTTACCAGGGAAACCCAGAAAGGAAGAAGGGGTAGTAAGGCACAAAGGCTGATCTCTGGCATACCTCAGAGAGAGTGTGGGCTCAGTTCCACGCCACCACACGATGCAGTGAGGCATGATTTTTTTTTTTCTAGTACATATAAAAGTTATGTAGGACTTAACCAGATTTTTTTTTTTTTAAACTGGTGGAAGTCTTGATGGCTACCAACTGATCAGGTGGGGGTTTCTGAAGATTGAGAGTAACTTTTTTTTTTTTTTTTGGCCATGCCATTTGGTTCAAAGTCAGTGTGTAGGATCTTAATTCTGGACCAGGGTAGAACCCTGGGCCTTAGCAGTGACAGCTTGGGGTCCCAACCACTAGACCGCCAAGGAATTTAAGACAACAGTGAAGTCTGCCATATCAATTGACTTTTCCTTTCAAGAACAATTTCTGCAATTTTTTTTTCTTTTTTAACATTTATTTTACTATTTATTTGGTTGCACCAGCAACTTGGGATCTTCAATCATCATTGCTGCATGCAAACTCGGTTGTGACATATAGGATCTAGTCCCCCAACCAGGGATCAAACCCTGGCCCCCTGCATTGGGAGCATGGAGTCCCAGCCACTGGACCACCAGGGAAGTCCCTGCAATGCTTGTTTGATAGTGTTTTTACCCACAGAAGAACTTTTGTCAAAATTGAAGTCAAGCTTATCAAACCCTGCTACGGCCATATCAACTAAATTTATGTAATACTCTAAATTTTTTGTCATCATACCAATAATCTTCACAGCATCTTCACCAAGAGTAGATTCCATCTCAAGAAACTACTTTGTTCATCCTTAAACAGCAACTCATCCATTCAAGTTTTATGATGAGATTGCAGCAATTCAGTTATATCTTAAGGTTCCACTTCTAATTTCTAGTTCTCTTCCTATTTCCACATCAGCAGTTACTTCCTCCACTGAAATCTTGAACCCCTCAAAGTCATTCATGAGTGCTAGAATGAACTTCTTCCAAACTCTTAATACTGGTGTTTTGACCTCTTGAATCACTAATGTTCCTGGCTTCTAGAATGGTGTATCTTGTCCAGAAGGTTTTCAATTTACTTTGCCTAGATTTATCAGAGAAATCATCATGGCAGCCTTACGAAATGTATTTCTTTCTTAAGTCATAAGACTTGAAATTACTCCTTGATTCCTGAACTGCATCATGGATATGTTCACAAACAACATGAATTTCACTATACATCTTCCAGGGCTCTTGGATGACCAGGTGCATTGTTGATGAGCAGTAATATTTTGAAAGGAATCCTTATTTCTGGCAGTTAAGTCTCAACAGTGGGCTTACAGTATTCAGTAAACCCTGTTGTAAGCAGATGTGCTATTATTATCCAGACTGTGTTGTCCCAATTACAGAGCAAAGGCAGCATAGACTTAGCATTTTTAAGAGCCCTACGATTTCCAGAATGGTTGATAAATGAGAACTGGCTTCAGTTTAGAGTCACCAGCTGCACTATCCCCTAATGAGAAAGTCGGCTTGCCCACTGAGGCTTTTCAGCCAGGCATTGACCTTTCTACCTGTGAAAGTCCTGAATAGTATCTTTACTGAAATCTGTTATGTAGTGTAGCCATTTTTATTAATTATATAAGCTAGATTTTCTGGATAACTTGCTGCAGCTTCTGCATCAACACTTGTTTCATCTTGCACTTCTATGTCATGGCTTACTTCCTTATACCTCATGAACCAACTTTACCAGCTTCAGATTTTCCTTCTGCATCTTCCTCACCTCTCTACTGTCATCAGACCTAAGAGAGCTGGGGCCTTGTTCCAGATTAGGCTCTGGTTTAAAGGAATGTTGTGACTGGCTTGATCTTCTAGACAAACCACTAGAAATTCTCTATCAGCAATAAGACTGTTTTGCTTTCCCTTGTGTGTTGCTGAAGTAGCACTTTTAATTTACTTCAAGAAATTTTTTGTTGCATTCACAACTTGGCCAATTGTTTGGGTAATTTAGGCCTAGTTTTGTTTTGGCAATTTAGGCCTAGTTTCAGCCTATCTCTGCTTTTGACATGGCTTCCTCACTAAGTTTAATCATTTCTGGCTCTTGCTTTAAAAGGAGAGATGTGAGTCTCTTCCTTTCACTTGAACAGTTAGAGGCCACTGTTTGGTTATTAATTAGCCGTAATTTCAGTATCCTTGTGTCTCAGGAAATGGGGACGCTCGAGGGGAGAGAGAGAGAGATGGCTGGTCAGTAAAGCAGTCAAAGCACATTTATCGAGGTCACCATCTTACGTGGGCACGGCTCACGACGCCCTAAAACAAGTACAGTGGTAACATCACAGATCACAGACCACCATGGCAAACACAGCAGCTTAGAAGTTTGAAATGTTGTGAGAGTTGCCAAGATGTGAGATAAACATGAAGGGAGCAAGTGCTGTTGGCAAAATGGCGCCAATAGACAGTTGGCACAGGGTTGCCACAAGCCTTCACTTATAAAAAAAAAACACGGTGTCTACAAAGCAGAATAAAACTAAGAATGCCTGTAACTCCTTCAACGATTTTTTATCTGCTACCCTTAAAATGGACAACTAACCTCCTCTGCTACAGAATGATTAAATATTTAGTTCTCAAATTAGGGGATGTATAGTTTGGATAAACCTGTTAAAGAGGAATTGTTCCTTCTTAGTTCTCAAACGGATTAA